AAATATATGTAGGGCAATGTCGTCAGGGTTGGGACGCTGTCATGGTTGGACACTGCAATTTTTGGCCAGACACTTAGCGCAAAGACACGTTCAAAGCTCTGAAAAGTTTGTTGGCACCGAAAGTAGTAATGCCACGCCTCGACAATGGTGGCGCTAAGTGTCTTGTAGACAAAATATAGCAATGTCCAAACACTGACAGCGTCCCAACCCTGACGACATTCCCCTACATATTTTTATATATATAATTACATATATTTATGTTTTATATGGAATTTTTCCTGGGGCATATACACTATACCGCCACTTGTACTGTAGTACGACTTCGCATTAAGGGTACAAATCACAAGAGTAAAGCACTCATTGTGAGAGAATTCTGACACATCTGAATTCAACGTTGGAAGACAATTTGGAAAAAGACGGCATTCAGCCAAGATGCATTTGGAGAAAGGCACTCAATTATGTTACATGTTACGCCAGCGTTGCATTACGCAAGATAAATCTGTCGTAATTTCATGGTGAGAAATATTGACAAAACGATGATATTGTATTTAATTGCGAACTCACTTTCTCGATATGGATATACAATGATTTAACTCCGTTCATGCAGCGATATATATACATCAGTTCCTCTTTTGCTATTGTTAACGCTCTTATAGTAAGGACATTAGTTACAAGTGATGGCAACTTACGATATATCGGATTACGAAAACGTAATCATATGTCAAGTGTCGTTTTACACTTTATTGGATCGATTTTTGCCTCGGCTTATTACGCAAAATTTTGGATTCAACGTAACTGTCACCGCTCTAACACGGTTTCCATGACGTCAACAATGCGATAAGTCAGAGCTATTAAATGTCTATAAAATGTATACAATGTATATATATTTAATGTAAACGCTGTGCTACATATTCATTTCTTAAGATTAGACAGTATTAGAAAACGTTCAAGGCGATTAAAAGTTGCATTAAAATATGCATATATATATATACATACTTTTTTAATAATTCTTTGTAAAATTTGAAATAAGACAGTGTTAAATAAGACCGATACATTTAAAAGCCACATATATTTCTAATTATCTTCAATATCACAGTATTCGTAGAAATGTATTAAACCGGGTACTTTTATATGAGATACCTAACACAAAAAAATGAAAATGGCAAGCAAAATATTTTTTTTTTTTTCATAAGTGTGCTCTATGATGATATCGTACAATTCAAAATATATACTGTGACGGACAGTTCAAAATATATTTCGAAATAATGTCTACCCATGGATCATTTCATTTCCTTCAATCTCTCTCGTCCATGTCAATATATTATTTCAAATTAAATTATAATTATCATTTAAAAAAAGAGAAAATAAATTCTCTTTGAAGTTGTAATATAGATATTGTACGCTCACATATTGCATACTACTACTTATTAAACTTGTAAAAAAATTATCAAAAAATTATACTTTTGTGTCATAAATGAAATATCGTTATAAATACCAGTTTTACTCA